GTCAGCTAGTTTAATTTCATAGCTTATATATTTTTATTCAAATGTAGTTTTTCTCTGTAATGAGAAAGTGAGTATTTAGTGGATTATGTTAAACAAATGGTTTAAAAAAGAGTGACCATTAGTTCCACAAACACAGTATTGATATTCTGTAGTGGTGCAGGAAAAAAATAGCGCTGGTGTTGGATCGTTATTGGCCAATTCTTAGAATTTGGAATACTCTATGTAATCTTACACTGCAAAATAATAACTCGAAAAGATTAAAAGATAACATCATAATTATTTACTGAACCCTTAAATTAATCAATTATATAATGAAAGCCATAAAAACAGACAATTAATCGTGATAATCGGCATAATCGCCAAAGCCCTAAAACAGACAATTAATCGCAATAAACATGACTATTTTTAGACAATTAATCGTCAGCCAAATGTCATAATCGTGACAGCCCTATGGCCAGCGTTTGAGTCTTGAGGGCTGTAAGATTCATTATTTTATCAGGAGAGCAGCCACTCAGTCTGTACAACGCTCAGAGACTGAACAGTGGACAGCGCTCTGGTTTTGCAGAGAATATTTTGTTCTCAAGTTCACACTCTCTTGCTAATGTCATGTGATTGAGGAAATCTGGGGTGAATAAATAGTTACTAATATAGTAATTGCTTTCTTTCTTTTTCATTTTGAACAAATGGGGGAAAATAGGTCCTTAACCTTCAGAAAATCTCAATCAAAACCAGGTGGTCAAACTACTGCAAATAGTATATGAGTTATTTTATTTTCTATGCTCTTTCTACGAGGTGTGGGTCTTTTGCAACCCTGCTACCATGCTAGCGTGTCTAAATACAGATTAAAACAGTTGATTTGATGTTGTTTTCTAGCAATGTACATTAAATAAACATGAAAAGTGAAGAGACAATTTTTAAAAAATATATTTGGGGAAAAATGCCAGAATTTGTACCAGAGTTGCATGTAACAGCTTTGCAGGTGATAAAATTGTTAATTTGATGTAGTTTTCTAGGAATATACATTAAATAAACATGAAAAGTAAAGAGACAAAAAAAAAAACATATATTTGATAAATATGCCAACATTGTAAGAGTTGCAAGTAACAGGGTTGCAGATTTTAAAATGGTTAATTTGAAGTTGTTTTCTAGCAGTATACATTAAATAAACATGAAAAGTAAAGAGACAAAAATAATAAAAAAAAAAAAAACATATTTGGTAAATATGCCAAATTTGAAATTACTAGTAACAGGGTTGCAGAATTTAAAATAATTAATTTAATGTTGTTTTCTAGCAATATACATTAAATAAGCATGAAAAGTAAATATATGTACAGTGTGTATATATATAGTCACATACATGTGTATAGTCCATCATAATGCAAAGTTAATTTTATTGCGCAAAATGTGTTAATATAATAATTAAATAAATAAAAAAAGCCCTGGGACACCAAAGTGTACTTTATTCTTGTTTTATCATTCAAAGCTGTCACTGGAAATGCATCTGTCTAAATGTTGTTTTCTTCACTTTCCCTTACCTATTACTTGAACAGCTTGTTGGTCTATTTTCCACCTCGACTCTCCCTTGGTACCAAATGGCCACTTGCAGATTGATGATTTTTTGTTTGCAAAGGATCATGTATAATTGCATAGAAGGATCTAGGGCAGGACAGGCCACGCAAAGAGGGATCTTTTTTTTTTTTCTTATCGGCCCCTGTGCGGCTCCATTTCAGAAACATCACCAGCCTTTCACTAGCTCTGTCTTTTCTATAGATTTTCCATTTCTGGCTAGAGCATTTTTTCCCCTCCTTTTTCTTTCAGTGCTATAAAAAAAATTTTTTGTTTAGATGTTGACTCAATCCTAACCTGCGGTATTTGAAAATAGCAATGCCTGAACAAGCTCCCACTCAGTCAGATGGTTTACTCTGCAACACAACCCAATACACAGCCGGTACGGACAGATATCGATGCCACAGATATCGATGCCACTTGGTCCAAAGGCCACTATTATATATATATATATATATATATATATATATATTCATTTGTTTAATTGTAAAATGAAATGATCAAATTAGCCTCTATAAAAGATACAAAAAATAGTTTTATTAATTTATTTTTACTGCATTTTTACTAAAATTGCACTTTTAATTTTTTTTTCTGCCAACAATTTGACATTGTTGAAATTATATTTATTGATCTTTTAGCATTATTTAAAACTCAGGGGTTACAAGTTCTGTGAATATGTTTCAAAACTCCTGACCTGACCAATATTATCAAAATTTGTCTAAAATTTGTTCAGGAAGTGATTCTTTAAAAGTATAGTTCACCCAAAAATGAAATTATTGAAATGGTTCTGGAGAACCTTTGTGCAGCTCTTTCCACACAAGTTTAAAATGACTATGTCACACTAGCTTCTAATAAACAGACAGACAGATCTATCTAAAGGCTTCTGTTGAGCCTTTATTTATGTGTAGAATTCAAAAATCGTCTTGTCAATGTCATTCATACCAAACCAGCATTTAATTTTGTGTGTTTCTACTTTTGTGTTCCATGGGTAAAAAGAAATGGGTTTGAGGTTGAGTAATGAATGACAGCCGTCATTTTTGAGCAAACTATCCCTTTAAGAATTCTTTTGAAGCATCCTTTTGAAGCATCTGTAAACGCTTTATGTGAATTTGAATGAATTCCCTGCATGTGTCCTTTCTGTGCTGCTGCAGGCTCCGCCACAGGAACCGTCCCCACTTCTGTTCGGTCCTACTCTGACTACATCTCCCGTCCGGAGGAGCAGGCCAGCATTCTCCAATTTGATAAGGACGAGACGGAGAATCACTGTCGTGTGGTGATCATTGACGACTCGCTGTATGAGGGAGAGGAGAGCTTTAATGTGACCCTCAGTATGCCTATAGGAGGCCGTCTGGGGCCGGAATACCCCACTGCGCATATCCGCATACTGCCGGACCAGGACGATGGTAAGGGCTTGTTTGCTTTTGTTTGATTGAAAGTAAACATTTACAAGAAAATGAACTCTTCACTCCAGGAAATATTGATTGTAATATTGATGATTTGATGATAATCTACACGTGACCTGAACAAAGAAAGAAACAAACTAACTTCTGTGTCATAAACAGACTGAATAAGTAGGAGCCAGTGTTATTTTAGTATTATTGAGATATTGAATTTTTTTATTAATATTTTGATTTTTTTATATTTTCAGTTTTTTTTTTTTAGCTGTGTCTATATAGTTATAGCTTTTAACTTTATTTCAGTTTTAGTTATTTTAGTACCAATTTTAGTATCAGTTTTGTATAAGTAGCAAGAAAATGACATATTGTATGTGCATTTTATATATATATATATATATATATATATATATATTCATTTGTTTAATTGAAAATATAAAAAATGAAATATTAAATATTTTATTTTATTTATTATTTATTTAGGTTTATTTAGGTTTATTTTATTTTAAGTAACAGTAAGTAATTTTAAATACTGGTTTTAATTTTTTTTTTTTTTTTACTATAATAAACCTGGTTGGAGCTGTGGCGTAGTGGTGTAGTGCTCATGGTGTAGTGTGTATGTGGAAAATTTAAGTTGGAGTATGGCTTGCGTCATTTCCTCTTCCACTTTGTCCCCCATAAATCAATAAAAGAACAAAAAGTAACAAATAAAAAAACTAGAATATTTTTTCTTAAAAAACAAAATTAAAACTTATGACTTACAATTCACTTTATGAACCATACAAATAGATCTATTCACAGACCATATCATGCTCAGACAGATATGTATTTGTTAGTTCAAAGCGCAGGAATATTTAAAGAGCCATTTATCTTTCTCCAAATCCTCGTATAGCGATGGAATTTCTGTGTCTCATGCACATACAGCAGCCAGCGGATGAACCAAGAATAGACACAATGCACATGTAAATGGGCAACACTGAAGTTTGCACAGGAGTCTCTTTCTCCTCCAGCGTTATGAGGCCTGAAATCACAGATAAAGTTGAGTTATTCTAAAGCCTTCTTTCCTCAAAGCAAGAGAATTAATTATTTCGCAGTGGAAAGCGAATGTATTTTTTTTTCCTTTTATCTCTGTTTTGCTGTTATTATGGCACCTCTCAGACAGAAAGCGTGAAATTGCACTCAGGAGAGAGCTGGAAGGGATAGAGTTCATCCTTTGGCTGGGAAACTATACATGCACATATGTGTATATCGCTGTGCTGCTCGACGCTGAACGTGGATTAGTGGTAATTCCCATGTGACACGAAGGTGAAAGCTTTCATCAAGTTAAGTTCAACTGAGCATGATGCATTCGGTATATCTGACAAATAGTGTTTATTAAAGCATAAATAATGTGTGTGTGTGTAAGTAATAGACTGTGTAATTAGAGGGTGTTGTTGGCGCTTTGTTTTGGCACGTCTTTTTGAGTCTTTATCTTCCTTTTAAAACCCCTCTTTCTGTCTCACACACATACACAGTACACCTCAGGCTACTGAAGTTTTTTTCTGGGGGAATCCTCTTGTCCATGGTACAATATCCTTAAGGGTATTAGATCGTATCTTGCTCTATCTGAAGCCGTTATCAGTAAATCTGGGCTAAAACCACCTAAACATCAATCAGCATCCTGCAGTAGCAAAACACTCCTTAAATTCAGTGTTAGAGCTGCAAATGAGCATATAGTTTCAGCCTGTCGTAATTATTTATGCATAACATATGAGCTATGAGCTTCCTTAAGGCTTTAATCATTTACTTAGTATAATATTACAAGATAAGTGTAACTGTAGTAAATTATATTCATTTAATCCAAAACATAAACTGTGAAAGATACAATAATCTGTACAATATATGCCTGTTTATATCTTGATTTCTCTCAAGATGAGAGCTGAAAACTTTCAGTTACATGTGTATACAACATTTTAAGGCATCACAAGCATATTACAGCACCAAAAGGTAGGAAGCAACATAATTCTACTCTCTAAGACACCTCATTCGAAGGCAGCATCATATGTATTTATTTTTTTATTTTTTTAGCATTGCATTGCAACAAACTCAAATCACCCAAAATGGTGGACTGAGCTGACCAACGTTTTGATTTATGTACTTCCATTTTATTATGGAATGAAATATCAATAACAATAGTAATCTAATGAAAAAAACGACTATTTTACCTAGTATACACTACAGTAAGATTTTTAAACAAAATTAAAACTTTTATTCAGCAAGGATGCATTAAATTGATCAAAAATGACGGTAAAAATGTCTGTAATGTTACAAAAGATTTCTATTTCAAATAAGTTCAAGTTCTTTAAAACGTTCTATTCATTCAAGAATCCTGGAAAAAATAAGTCACCGTTTCAATGTTTTCAACAGATAATATTAAGAAATGTTTCTTGAGCACCAAATCAGCATATTAGAATGATTTCTGAAAGATCATGTGACACTGAAGACTGGAGTAATGAGGCTGAAAAATCAGCTTTACCATCACAGGAATCCATTTCATTTTACAATATATTAAAATGGAAACGGGGCTTGTGAAATTGTAATAATATTTCAAAATAGTTTATTTTTGATGAAATAAATGCAGCCTTGATGAACATAAGAGGCTTCTTTTGAAAACACTTTTGAACGGTAGTTTATATGTGCATGATTTGGATTTTATTTGCATTTTAGAGCATCGCGTCATTAGCTTAGCATCATGCTAACGTCAAATTCTTTTGGAATCGAGATCTGCTTTTAAAAGTTGAACTCAAATTTAAAAAATGCAACACACTTGCATGAAATGCTGAAAAAAAGCGCGTATATGTGTGAAGAGTTGTTTTTCTACACTCTTTCTACTTCTGAAATGTTGACTGTGAATAGTTCAAATGAAATTCTGTATCAAATAGTGCATACCTCCAAAATCTGTATCATCCCGTTCTCCTCGGTTTCTCTATTTCTCTATTCTCTATTTTTTTTCTCTATTTAGTGTGCACACACACACTAGCACATACACACATATGAATAATTGATCTGGTGGCCCTAGTTGGGCTGCTCAAGTAGGTTGTGTATCATTTCTGTTTTTATTTTTCTGTTTATCAAGGTTTCCGATCAGAATGAAGCGAGGCTGTTCTCCATGTCATTTAGATTTATGTTGAGTGGTTAACTGCAGATGGAGAGATAAACATCACTTCCACAAAGTAAAGCACAACACCTCCCCCAAATGATCAGACACAATGAGAAAAAAGACTGGAAGTGTGTGTGTGCGTGTGTGTGTGCGTGTGTGCGCGTGTGCGTGTGCGTGCGGTAGGAGCTTGCAGGTAAACAAACAAAGGTTGACTCCCTCAGGCAATGCAGGAAAGATCTCAACTAGCAAGGAAAGAAGCTCAAAACTACAGCTGAAAATTCAGTCCAAAACTCAATTACTCGCTCTCAGTTGTGTGCTAAACATGAGAACTGGTTTGCCGCTGCCTCTGTATGAGCGAAACTGCATTGGAGAGTAACTAAAACTAGCTAAAAACTATACGTTTTTTCATTATTGTGATGGTAGTTTAGCTGTTTTCAAAATACTGTGGCTTTTTTCAGTCTGTGAGCCGTGTGGTGGACTGAGTCAGGATATTACACTCCATACTGCTGTCTCTTTCTGAGAGCTAATGAACTACATTAAAACAAACATGGTCCGGATGCCAAGCTCAGTGTTGTTTGGCCGGCAGCGACTGAGCACACTGTAGATTAAAACTGAAGAGATGTTCTGCTGCAGAGATAAAAGAGTACAACAAAAACTAGTGGAAACTAGTCGGACATAACCAGGCTTTTGTGCTATTTAGGGTCAAAGATTTGTTTTTGAAAGTCTAAAATCTCTGCATTTATTTGTTCAGGTTACAGTACAAGTAATAATATTGTGAAATATTATTACAATTTAAAATAACTGCTTGCTATTTTAATACATGTAATTTATTCTTGTGATGGCAGTCTTTAGTGTCACTTGATCCTTCAGAAATGATGCTTTCTGCTCAGCATTGTTTGTATGACAGTGTAGCCCTAGGTGAAGGTGGAGAATACAAGAAAATGTGATGTACATGACTGTTTGGAGGAAGTATATCTACAGAGACACCTGTCTTTAGTTTGAAATTAATGCCTGACAGCATGCGCGTCTGTTTGACAGATGTTCATAGTCAGAGAACAACTAATGTTTATGTCTAGAGAAACTCCAATATTAGCACACAACTCGGCATGCACTGTCTGTCAATGAGTATTACATTCACATTACGTACACTGAATCACCCCCTCGTGCATTAGCTTTCACAGGCGTCGATATCAGAACGCAGCGTGAAGATGCACACCAAACCCACGTAGGTCATCAAGAACTGCCGCACACTGAGCTAAAATGGTCTTCTCAGTCAGCAGTATCAGCCCCTAGGTGAAGGTGGAGAATACAAGAAAATGTGATGTACATGACTGTTTGGAGGAAGTATATCTACAGAGACACCTGTCTTTAGTTTGAAATTAATGCCTGACAGCATGCTGTTTGACAGATGTTCATAGTCAGAGAACAACTAATGTTTATGTCTAGAGAAACTCAAATATTAGCACACAACTCGGCATGCACTGACTGTCAATGAGTATTACATTCACATTACGTACACTGAATCACCCCCTCGTGCATTAGCTTTCACAGGCGTCGATATCAGAACGCAGCGTGAAGATGCACACCAAACCCATGTAGGTCATCAAGAACTGCCGCACACTGAGCTAAAATGGTCTTCTCAGTCAGCAGTATCAGCAGCATCAGAGAGCCTGCTGTCTAAAGAAATGCTTTGTGCTGTTTCCTGTGCTGTTGTTTATTGTGTGGAATGTACACACTGGTATTATTGGTCACATAAATCTGTCAGTACTAAATCAGTGCTGTTGAAGCCTGGGGGCATAAAGACTGCCTCTGCATTAGAAAACTACCTGTGTAGCTCCAGACTAAATCAATACTTACTTTAATGTTCATATGTGGATAGTGGACCAGTGTTCATATGCTGCTATGTGTTATAGTAGTTTATGTTGTAAATTATTTATTTTTGGAAAATGTACCACACACACACACACACATATATATATATATATATATATATATATATATATATATAT